TCTAACACTGAGCTACCCAGGATCTAACCCGCGTCTCATATTGGAGTGTCAGAACCAAAGTGGATTTTTTAAGCAATTTTCATAAAGAATATTTTTCTATATAGCATTTTGAATGCAAAATTGTTCAAATATAATAAAGTTTGTACTATTGTCATTATTGGTTAACTGTTATATATTGGTGGTATTAACTGTAATAATAGATTGGCTCGGCTTTGGCCATCCACTACCGTGACCCTAAATTCAGTTTTGTACAAATGAAATAAACAAATAAAAAGAAAATATTATTAGGGGAAACGATATAGTTATTGGCCCCTATACAGTTATCAGCCCTTTCAAATTTGATTGCCAAAAATAAGCATTATCCTACCAAAATAATATATTTAATACTGCATTAATGGCAACACTTTCATGCTCCGTCAAACAGGTGCAACAAAAATCCGCTAGGTTGACAGTTATCTTTTCGGCGAGTGAAATTTTGGCGGAGGTAAAACGTAAGTAATATTTATTAATAAAATATTAAGGCCGCTACTTTTTTTTAAAGCAATATTTAAAAAAGTATAAGTAACAGTACCGTTATTTAAATTCTATGAAATAATGTCTTGTAATGTGTTTTAAACAGGTTTAGGGTGTAAAATAACTTTGTTTCGTTATAACCTCAAAATTTTGTAGTGGCCAATAGCTGTCATTATTATTTGAATAGCTTATAGTTATTGGCCTTCTATGCCATTTACTATATTTAACAAATTATTATTATCTAGCATTGTTAATGAATAAATCATCTTATTTCGTAACGATAAGTGTCGTATTTAGTTCCTAGAATTTTCTTATCATTATAAATAGTTAATAGCCTAGGCCAATAACTGTGTAATTCGAAAAACTAACTTATACAAAAAGTAGGCCAATAACTATAATCTATTTTTGGTTATTTTGAAAAAATTATCTTTAAATTATTTTTATTTTTATATCAGGTTCGTGAAAAGACAATGCCGAAGATACCCCAATATACAAAAGAGGCCCTTGAGGAGGCTCTAGAAAAAGTGAACACAAAAACCATGTCATTAAGAGCTACAGCAAAAAAATATAATATACCTAGAGGTACCTTACAGTTCAAACTTAAAAATCCTACTTCGAAATCCCAATTCGGACCGACACCGTATTTGACATATGAAGAAGAAAATACGATCGCAGAGTGGTTGATTAAAATGGCCCGTAAAGGCTTTCCTAGAAAGTCAGATGATGTTCTCGACACTGTTAAAAAATTTCTAACTGATAATCCACGCGATACCCCTTTTGTCAATAATCGGCCTGGTCCGGGATGGCTGAAAGCTTTTTTAAAACGTCACCCTAGTTTAGTTAAAAGAACCAGCGAGGGAGTAACTAAAGCCAGTGCCTGCGTGTCTGAAGCGGACATAAAGAAATGGTTTCTTGAAATAAGAAACTACTTGACAAGTGAAAACTTGTTAGATGCAATTCAGGATCCAAAGCGTGTGTTTAATGCTGACGAGACAGGATTTCAGCTGTGTCCTTCTACTGGTCGCGTACTTGCTGCTAAAGGAGACAAAAATGTTTATTCTGTGGAACTTGGAAACTCTAAAGAAAATGTTACGGTACTATTTACATTTTCCGCTGATGGCAAAACTTGTCCTCCATTAATTGTATTTCCTTACAAACGACTGCCTGAAAAAATTGCGACATCAGTGCCACCTAAATGGGGTATCGGACGCAGTGATTCAGGGTGGATGACGGCAGATGTTTTCAACCAGTTTATCACTGAAATATTTGATCCATATCTTACTGAAAGCAACATCAAAAGACCAGTTATTCTATTTATAGATGGTCACAAAAGCCATATCACTTTGCAGCTTAGTTTGACTTGTAAAGAGTTAGGAATTGAACTAGTTGCTCTTTACCCCAACACTACCCGCATCACTCAGCCAGCAGATGTTTCCGTTTTTGGGCCTATTAAAAAAAGATACCGAAATGCAGTTCGAAAATTTCAATCAGAAAACATAGGAGAAGTGGTAACAAAATTAAACATCGCTACTATCCTCAAAACTGTTGTAGATGAGTTGAAACCTGAAACTATTGCAAATGGTTTTCGAGCATGTGGCTTATGTCCCTTTGATGAGAATGCTTTAGATTACTCCAAATGTTTAAGTCAATCAAAGAATATAGAAGAGTACAGTTATGACAACAAGCTCATGTCCCTAAAAGAATTTGAAAACATTGTAGGAGCCGAAATGATAGACAAGCTAAAAGTATTAAAATCTCAAGGTGTCAACAAGAATGAAACGTCTCCTACATTGTTCAAACTTTGGTCCTTTTTTCAATGTGATCGCCCGCAGAAGGAATCAACAGATATTGAAATACACTATGATAATAATACAGCAACAAATGTAAATCTAACTAATGAAAATAATGTGACCACGCTTAAAATTACTATGACACCTACAAAAAATCCTTCAGATTTGTGCCAGCCTTCGACGTCAGCAACTGTACCAACTATTCCAAAAACTACTCATCTTAATAAGTCAATAACTGAGTACCTGCCCAATGCTCCAGAAAATAAGAGAAAGTTTATTCGGAAGACGGAAAAAACCTCCTTTGTCATTACTTCCGAAAATTTCAGATCAGCTATTGAAAGAAAAGAATTAGAAAAACAAGAAAAAGAGAATCAGAAATTGGAGAGAAAAAGAAAAAGAGAGGAGAAGGCAGCTACACGGGAAAAAAATGCTGGGAAGACGAATAAAGCTAAAGGTGTTGGAAAAAAATCAAAAAAAGTTACCAAAAACAATGAAATTAACATTGAGACCGAAAATGAAAACTCTGAAAAGGAAAACTGTATTAAAAATGAAATTAAAAAAGAAAACAGTAAACTAAAGATAATATCAAATATAGAAGTAGTAAATTGTAATATGTGCAAACGTTTAGCTGCTAAAAATAAGTCCCTATTGTGTGATTCTTGTAAAAACTACTATCATCGTCATTGCATTCCTAGTAAACACGAAGAGCATTTGCCAGATGATGATGAGCTTTCTGATTTTGTATGCCATAAATGTTTTCTTTTAAATGATAATGAATCTGAATCTATTGAGGATGAAGATTATGAAGAAGAAATGTTTTAATTGCTATACCCTTGTTTTTGTAATTAAACATGTCTAAAGTTTAATTTTTTGTATAATTTACGATGTGGCTAATAACTATATGATCTCATGGCCAATTACTGCAATGTTAGGGCCAATAACTACAGTTTTAAGTTTTATGTTTTTATGTTAATTTTATTCCTAAAACGTTTAGTAACAATGTATGTGTAATGACATATTTGATAAATACATTAATATAAAACCATATGGCATAATTTTTATTTCTTTCTAACTAGGAATTTGAATTTTAGTAAAGATTTTAAAATTTGAAGTCGCTTATCTGGCCAATAACTGTACCGTTTCCCTACCTTATATCTTGAAAAACTCTACCTTATATATAATTTGTAACTTTAGAATTAAATTGAATAGATTCCGATAGCCAATATAATGTGCATGAAGTTGTCTTTTGGAGTATGTTATACCATCGGTGCATGAGTCATTAATTACATAAAATAAATACGATTAAAAGAGTCATCTACCATAAAAGAATGGACAGTATAAATACTTTAAAAAAATGTAAGTATTTTAAAGTGTTGCATTAGTAGAATCATTTAAAGTAAAACTATTGAATGAGTGGCAAATGTGTAGCAACGACAAAAATATACGCACACATACTCCTGCAACAATTATTTACGTCAAACAAGCAATGATAAATGTCCACAAAGGATCTTACCGTAATACCGCCAGCGTACGATAGGTGTGATGGCGATGCCGCAGTGGAACACGTTCAGTGGACTGGCGAGGGCTAGAGACGCGAGGAAACCGCCGTGCGCCCGGCCCCATACGGCGACGCGACGAGCGTCGATAAAATGTAGGGAATCACGGAGGTACCTGGTTAACAATGTGTTTATATTAGTTTTGAAAACTGATTTTTTATACCTGTGGCGAGTTCGATGCTTAGGCAAAGAATAAAAGGCTGACTAAGCTCGAGGACTTGATTTAAAAAGGGTAAACAAAAAAAAAACAGTAACAAACAAAAATGGAATATAATAACAGTTCATATGGTTACCTAAATAATAATATTAAAATAAAACAATTATATACCCCTTTTCTTAGGGTTTGGTGAGTAATTTAACTTTATTAAATTTCATATAGTATTTTTCTTGAGTTCAAACTCGTGAGCGTAACGGAAACGAGTAATAATTAATGGAAGGAAAATTTCAAAAATAACATTAAACAAGCAATACCTATGTTTGTTCTATTTTTTTTAATATTAAAAGTTTATTTGTCAATTCATCAACAGTTGATAGAAAATTGCCTTATTTGGTGATTAATTCTCAATTTCGGAATTTCTCGGTTTTTTACTATAAATTTATTACCATAAAGCACCTTAATTGTTTTCGATCGATGTTTCCCAGACTGCGATCAAGGCAATGAGCTTGCAAAATTTTTATGTTATCCAAACACATAAAATCTGTGTATACTAATTAATTTTGTTTCCTTCATGAGAAATTTCAGGGCTATTTGTTTGACCTCACAATGTATCATCATCGGTCCTTTTACGACCCCACTGCAGGGGCTCAGGGTTTCTTTATGGTTGGTTAAGGATGACAGGGCATGACCCTCCACGCTGGCATAATGCGGATTGGCGGGTATTAGCGACTGTAAATGAAGTCGGAACCAACGCCTTACCGTGCCTTCCGAAGCAAGGAGTAGCTCGAGACAATAATTATTTGGTCACTCATCCCGTGACTGAACCTTGCGAAAGTTGCTTAACAACAATGATCGCGCGCCGCGCCGCTTCTCCACTACGCCATTGAGCTACTCACAGTGCATGGTGTATGCATACTCCTACTTACATTGCGTGATGCTTCCCATTCATGTATTTACGAATAGAACCATCTATGATAAATGAAATTACTCAGCCACTTCGAGCTGGTCTGCCAGCTCCACAGTGCCCAGCCTCCTGTGCAACGTGTGGTGGGCAGCCAGCCCCCTGCCGCCCGCGCCCCGCGCGTCCACCGCCGCCACCACAGCTCCCGCGCCCGCCGCTACACTGCACCAGTCCAAAGACCAACGCTCCGTTACCACTTGAGTGCCAGGAGCGCCATGACTACGAATATACAAGAAAAACTATTATCAGCATGCTCATTTTATTATATCAACCAAGGATCTGTCCGTTTGTCTGTCATAGCTAAATTTGTTTCGAAACTACAGGATCTATTAAGTTGAAAGGTACATATGTAGTCGATGACCCAAAGACGATTGTGTAGCGCAAATGAATGAATTTCGAAAACGACGAATATGATTTTTACATTATAAGAGCACTTCGAAGTTATCCGAAATTTTGGTCTAGTACAAATAGTGTAGGTCCTCAGATGATTTGTTTGGAAAGGTTCAGAAAGTAAAACGTCAAAATCTAATTAATCGAAAAAAACATGGTTGCTTTTTTTCAAACATTACCAACGTTATTGCTCACAACAGAAGAACGATCGGTTCATTATCGATTTAATTGACGAAGATGTTGAAGTCGCGCTATGTGATTCACTGAGCACGCCCCCGACTGTTACAGTTTAATTCAGTTATTCGCAAACTCATTATCGATGAAGCGGGCTTATTTTGGGTCGAAAGCGCACCCGCGTTTGGTATTTTATTGCAATGTTGGAATTAAATACTTACATACTAAAATCATTTAAAAGACATACAGAGTAAAGACCCTGTGTCTTAACACTACTTTTAGTGTTGAGTTATAATAAAATATACAGTAGTTAGGTGAAATTCATACTAGGTGCACCTTTTGCTAGTGTTATATAATACACAATCAAAATACCTGTTCTACCTAGTGTTAGCATTTAATGTAGTAATTGTCCAGTATGATGCCATTACATTATTGAGAACCCTATTTATAAACAGATAAGACCTATTTTAGTTCGTACAATCGTAAGCGGTACTTCAAGCGCCTTAACTTCATATTCTTTTACGTTATAGTCTTGCACTTACTCAGTGGAGTAAAAGGAAAATTGTGAATTTCAGGTAGGCTTGAAAATCGCAAATACTAAATAGATCGAGTATTTATAAAATTAGAACAGGTGTCTCTTAATATTGTAAAATACATGATATTTTGAACTGTTCTAATGAATACGACTTATCTTTAAAGTTGTCTCTTGTCTAGAACAACAATAGTTAGTCTCGTGTTCGTAAACTTGTTATCAGCAGCTACAGACCAAGATCCCTTCAATCCAACATTGCTTGTTATCTCAAACTTCGATCTAATAATAGTTGTTAGTGTGACTAAGCCACTTAGCAGTTGCCATATTTAAGGGTTTGCATGATTCATATTGACGAGGGTTAATTGATTATGAATTCAATTATTTACGCTTGTAAATGTTTTAAACACTTGAAACTTATAAAAAATTAATCGTCTAATTTGTAGAATTATCAGACTCCCAGTGTGTTTGTAAAACTTCTACACTCGATTTAAACCACAATGCTTTGAGGGTAAAGTACAAAGTTAATTGAGGAAATTTGACATGTAATGGTAACTTGACGTGCTGACATTATTCTAATACACATTGATTAGATTTCTATTTCTTAGCCCATAAGAAAAAAAATTACAATACTAGATAGTTAACTGAAATAAGATATGAGATGTATTCGTAACATAACTTAAAGTTTCACATTTAGTTGATTGATGACATCGTATAGACAGACTATGTATTTTGGGCACTAGTGGCGTAACTATACTATTTGAGGCCCGTGGCAACAATTAATTAATCGGATATTGATTTTTTTACCAACTTCACCCTGAAGTTACGCCATTGCTGAGCACCTAGTAGAAATGTCGCATGACGTCACATCTATCTAAATGTTCTACATAGTTGTGACGTAGCGAGTCCCCATTCATCAAATTTAATAATAACAATAATAATAATAAATATTCTTTATTGCACAATAGAAAAGAGACAATATACAAAAATCTTACGCAATCATAATACCGATACCGTACGGTAGGCGGCCCTATCGCTTGATAGCGATTTCTGCCAAGCAACCTAACAAAGTTCAGAAATTTAACTAATAACAAATATAAGCAGATAGTGCAAATTTAAAATAAAGTAAAGTAATCCGCGTAAGGACAAATAGAACAAAAGTTATAAGTACATACAAGTGACAAAACAAATAGATATATAAAGCGTGAAAGCATACTAGCAACAAACAAAGTGCGACATGTGGAGGAGGAAAGAGAGAAGAAGAGAGAAAAAAGAAAAGAGAGGAAGAAAGTAAAGGAAAATTAATCTTCAGACAGGTAAAAAGATTTAAGCAGCGATTTGAAAATGTCTAAAGACTTTGCCAGTCGTATAGACTCGGGTAAGAAGTTCCAGAGTTTGGTGGCCTGTAGTGTAAATGAATTGCTGTAAAATTTAGTCAGATAAGGTGGTATATAAAAACGATAATTATTAGAAGAGCGAAGAGATAGATCATGAGAAGATGAGAGAAATTTATTATTATTTAAGACATATCTTGTTAAATTGAAGTAAAAAATAAGTATCTAATACTTTTATATTATCTGACTGATGGACTAAATAGAATTTGCTTTCTTGTACCTAGGCATCATGGCTATTTCAATAAAATTTGGTACACACATAGAGATATATAGGAAAGGATACGGAATAGTTTTTATCGCAAATAAAATGGCTTAAAGGTATTGAAATAAGGGATGAAACTACGAAGGGAGATAGTAACCGAAATCCACGTGGGCGCAGCCGCGCTTGGAAAGCTAGTATGAAATAAAGATGTGGATGGATTTACTCACACTTTTAGTACCAGCGGATATTTTGTGACCTCATCCTCTCTGAGGCCTGGTGGTAGAAGCAGACGGACCCTCGCTGCGTGTCCACTAGACAGTTGGACTGAGAAAGTGCGAGGTGTAGGCAATGCTATAGATGACAATCTTTCCTGTAGAAAATACTAAGTTTTACTAAGTTTTTGATTGTATCAGAATTATTAATTTGAAAGTGATCGTGTGCAAGATTAAAGTCCAAATAAACTATAAGTAATCAATAATGACAAAACTATTAATAAGAAAGGGCTTTTTGGTTACCCATCTTATGACTGGCCCTTGCGTTGATTATCCTATATCGCAGGCCATTTCGCCATCGAGCTTCTCCCTTACTAATTGAGTTGTTACATTTGAATACATGAAATAAACGAATAACAATTACAAAGCAATTTGTAGGTCATGCCATTGGAAATTAATTTAAATACTTTTTTTTAAGATTTTTGTTTTTGTTTGCCTATCCGGTATTCCTATAAAATTCAAGGTTGATCTTTAAAAACTAATTTAAACGTATGCGTACTAATAATTCTATCTTTCCATTTATATTTCCACGTCGAATCTTGTGGTGTATACAGAGAGAAAAGAAATTTCTTTATACCTATATCGACTATCCTTGTTATTATTTTCAAATTAATAATAAAAAAAACTGTAATTAAACATTTAAATCACAATTACAAATAATGCTTTTGTCGTTTTATATTTTTTTCCTACAAATGACGTTTTTGAATGAGGAAGTATTTAAAAAAAACGAAAGCACTAAAAAAGCACCTCCACTATGGCGACTCTAGCAAAATTTGTTTTTTGCAGGAAACGAATGGACCTAAAGATAGTCACTTCCGTTCCTTTTAATTACGAGTAACACGTTAAAAACTGAAATTTGAAAATTTCGAAACTTAGATATCAATACAAATACGAAAAAGTACAAATATATTATTATGAGTTGTTTATTGAGTTTTGAACACCAATTTACTTTTAAACATGAAAGAAAACCGGAAGGGCTGTCGTCGAGAAATCAAGAACGTAGGTACCGTAGCGACATCTAGTTTGATTTCGGGAACGAATGTTTTTTTTTAAATACTTCCTCATTAATATCGGAATTTGGAACTTTTTGTAGATTGCTGTTGTTGTTTTCTTTTTAATGAAAAAGTTTACGTTATAAATGGACTTTGATATTCCGTTCATTCAGCCAGCATTATACTTTCAAATTAATGATTTAAAAGAGAAATTAAAATATTAAAGACTAAACAATAGACAAGCTGTTCTGAATTCAAATTACGGCACACATCTGTCCGACAATATTTATATATCTGTGCAATATTTTTAAAATCTAGAACATTCTATTTCATCTAAATGGTAATTTGTCTACTTTACTAATATTACAATTAGGAAATATTTGACTTTTCTCTATTGAATGGGCTCTGTAAGTACTGGATCGATCTGGAAAATTGTTTCAATAACGTGAAGATAACGCCCTTTTTTTATTTAGCTATTAAAACAAGTAAAGTGAAATGAACCAAAATGTTTGTTTCTAATATAAATAAAAACATATGTTTATAAAGGAATGTACATAATATTCATTGATATTATCCATAAAATGTTATTATATAAATAGTTATGAGTAGACAGGCGATCACTGCTCTGTGGCATAATTGTCTTATTTCAAAATCTACCTCTCTAAAAAGGTCCAGTGAGATAGCGACTAATGGAATTATGTAACATAATAACAACTTAGTAACTTAAATTTAAGTAATATTTGCATCTAAGGCTTGCTTTAGACACTTCTAATTAAAGTCAAATTAACGATACCGATTATTCAATGTCTTAAAAATAACGTCGCGATCGCAATTGCTACCGCATGTCACATATTTGTAGCGTGAAGTTCTTTCAAAAAATGTGAAAGGGATTATTATCGATTTTAAGATTATACAATTAGGCCATGGGTGATATGAACAAAAATTTAATCACGTGTTTTATTCAACGTTCTTTATATCGATTGGTCAATACAAGTGTTAGATTATCAATTACAAAACAACCTTCCTGACGCGATACTTTAGTAAGTTAACCGGTACCGAACAATTTGTTTAGTAGGTATAAGGCCTAATAGGGATGATAACTAAGTTTTGACTGTCTGTCCTTCAGGTAGATTATTGAAGAACAATGTATACATATTTTACATTTCCAACCTTACGAAACTGTTTTTACGACTATAAGGTCCTAAACAACGGCGTCAGCGGCAACAAAAGAGGCTAAATGAAGATGACTCACACATTTCATATAAAATACGGCGATTAACGCAAACATTGGACCAAATTAGGGTAACTATGGAATTTAAAATTAATCGGACTAACTAAACTGGGGCCTATACCTTTTATACCTATTGTAAGCACGGTGGCTCTCTTTTCTCGATTCACTAAGAAAAAAAATGCAGTATTCAATAAAAGAATTTATATACATATATATAAAATTGTAACCTTAAGGTTTTAATTATAATCTAATATCAAATGCAAATGGCGCTTAGGACTTGTAAATTTATATACTAAGTGAACTTTTTTGGCATTTACTTGGAATATAAAACTAGAAATTTTTATTATTATACTAATGTTTAACACACGTTACTCGCAATAAAATAAAATGTGGCTAGAGGAAGTTTCGTATTGCTCGCGGCACAATGTCATAATTTTGAATGTTATGGTTAATATATCTATACCTCCCATAAGGCCCATCATTTTGACAACCAATATCATAAACAACATCCTGTTCCGACATTTTATTGCTTGCAAACAGCAAGAGTAAAACAAATAAAATAAATGCATACGTTATTCCATTAACCTTATTGAAAGCACTTTTGGGTCCAACATTTTTAGATACTTACAAACAGATCATCTTTTGGATGATAAGAAATGAATGGGCGCAAGAAATTAATCTGCTCTTAATAGTAACTTGTAACAACATTTACATAAAGATGTCTTCACGAAACAAATTAACGCCAACGTTAAATAAAAAAATCAATGCAGTCTAATTTTAATCTGATAACTGGTAAAGAGTATTCGAGTTAGGTAAAAAAGGTTTTATTTTAGATTTTTTTGGAATTACAGTTTTTTTATTTAATTTTATAAACTCTAAGTTATAATCTGACAGAACAATTAATATCTATTAGCCTTCCTCTAGCGGCTTCGAACGCGTAATCCTGTATTATACATATAAACATTCCTATTAAATTATTCTGTATATTGAACACAAATTTAATGGTCGCCCTACCGTCTGATTCATCTCTCGCCATTGAATAGCACAATGCTTTCACAAAAGACTGCCTCGGGATTTAGGTGGTAATTACAGCAGATTGTTCTTTATCGATCATATTTCACGCTTTAGCTTCATTGTAATCATTAATATCGCTTTAAATATAGCTCCCATATCACTTGAGAAAGATGAGTTTGAGATGTAAATTATTAATTATAATTACAAGATGTTTTATTATATGTACATAAAATATAATTTAGAAACCGAGACGGCTACATTATTGTTAAAAAGCCTAATGCTAGAAAAAATAAATAACTCTAAAATAAGGCGAAATAGCAAAGCTATTATTATTGTTAGTATTAATAAAGTAAACTGTCAGAGATAAAAAGCCCCAAATCATTTTTTTATTAGTTTTAATATTTTTTATTAGTAAATCTCTACGATTATTTATAAATAAACGACGCCATCTATTGGCCATAAAACGATCTATATATTTATTAATGTATGAATGAAATTGTATGTACATAGATATTTCGAGTTATTGATGGTAGATTTTTTCGATTTTCCCCATTTTTGAATGACAGTTTTTTTTGGACTCTAGCTATATTCGTTTAATAGGAAAGTTGCAGGTTAATTCAAGTTTTTCAATGATTTTGAAACCTTAAATTATTTTTTTTATTTACCTTTACTGCTGTGTTATTTTCCAAGTGCATGATCATCCTTGGTTCTGGAAGAGATATTTTGTGAAGACTAGATGTTGGTACTCCTGGCCCGAGACACTCCAGCACGAAGTACGCAGAAGACGGGCTGAAGTATGCCTCATGGTACAAACACGGGAGATTTTGAGGTAGACCGTCTAAGGAGAAAATTAACATCATAATCAGACTATTAATATCCTAACTGCTGCCTCCAGAAACACGACGAGATAAGGCCATATGCAGATGCAGCTGGGATCAACAGTTAAACGTGCCCCTTGAAGCACGCTAATGCTCAAGAAAATAATTTTTTGGTGATCGCAAAACAAAATATTGCCATTATAATGCAAATATTAATCTACTTCGAACTCTTTAGATAGTGAAATATAATAAATAACCTAGATAGATAGATAGATTTTCTATGACATTGTCCCTTAAAACATATACACATTTATGGGTTTATTAGCTGATCACATAGGAAGGCAATCAGATTACAATCTGCCGAAAACAGCCAATATCGTTATCGGCGAAGGCTCAGTAATTAGGATCAATAGAATTATCAAGATTAATTCTCAATATGCTCGAATAGGATACACGATAATAGTTATAATAGTATTCAATTAACAGTTATAGTCTGGGAGTGTTGGATTTATTTATTTACATTAATTTATAAGTACTTAATCTTACAAACTCAAAAAGCATAGGTGTCCGTTGACCGACCTATTTGTTAATTCACAGCTCGAACTACAGCACGGATAAATTGGAATTTGGTACGATAACAGTTGTTATGACATAGAGGTTCATTAAAAAAAGTTTTGAAAAAAAAAAAACTCTCTTGACTGAGGATTCAAATATGAAGATACCCAGGAAAAACTATTAAACAATTCGACTTATGAGTTTGAAGCTTTGCAGTTCCGTTGTATTGTAGTCACTACAGCTTACAAGATTTGTAATGTTTCCTTCCATTGTTAAATTCCTTTTGCATTTTTAGATTGATAGATTCCAAGAAGGCTAATATTAATAATCTGCTAGACATGTATTTCTTCAGATGTACATAATTGCCCACATCGACCAATTTCAAAGTTCATAATGGTCACTCACCTGGATGTTTTTTCTTCTTCTTCTTAGAAGGGGAGGGGGATGTAGCTGGCGGTTCCTCATCCCAGTCGGCATCCCAACTGCTGTCCCCAGACGAGGCCAGATTTCCGTAATACTCTAAGTTTATTGCTGGTGATGGCTGTTGGCAAATGTAAGATATTTACATCAAACATTGTTATTACGACGACGATGCTATGAATATTTCGAAGTTCTCATTACATTGCTGAAGTCCTATACTTTAATTTCAGTTCTTGATAATTGCTGAAGTTTAGGGCTCCTTTTTGGATAGAAGCATACAGTGAGAATGGGTCATTCCCACCACGCGGGCCGGTGCAGATTATTTCCGAACTATTGAGAAGCTTAAGACAATAAATTATTTGACACTTGGTGGTGATGGGTATTTGCGAAAGCTTCTTAATCTCCACAATCGCAGGCACGCTAACCAAGGAACTCCCCAATTTTGTATTTAATATCCATTTGGTAATCACATAGGTATAGTAAATAAGCTAATGCATAGCTTGCGTCTATTTTATTTCTTCTTATTTTTCCTCGTATGCTCCAGAGCAGAGCAGTCGTAGTTGATGTTTGGCGGACATTATCGTTCACAGATGTGTTCAGCGAAATGGAGTTTTCGCCGAGACCTGACTTCTACCTACTCTGCCATGTACCACTAATCGTTCCATAGTATCCTCACTGCGTATTATATGACCAAAGTAGAACACGAAGTAGCTATTTTATTAGTCAGGTATAAGAAGTGAATGGACATGTTAAATTTCGAAAAGAACTTGAATATGTTGTTACAAGTTTTCATAGTCATTTACATTAGAATTATAGATTTCTACAGGATTGCTTGTGTTGTGATCATAGCCATAGATTAAGTGTCAAAATATCGGGAACTCAATAAAAACAAGGTACTTGATGGCGATACCATAGAGAACTATCATTCTAAAGAACTTGACTGGTTAACTTTTACAAAAAGTCTGTTGTATATGTATAATCATAGCGTAATTTTGGAAAAGATATATTGTCTCTATTACCTGTGAATTACACGTCACACAGTAAGGCAACTTCTGCGGTGAGCCAGGCCGAGGCGGTTCGGAAGACACTCTGTACAAATGTTGTTGTCCTGGTTTCCCCTCGGGTATTCCCAAGTAGTATCTGACGACAATAGTTAATATGAATTCGACATTAACAAAGATTGCTACAAACGAGGTAAAGATTGTAGCGGTTTGCTATGCAGAAGTTAAGCCTCTCTTCAGTGATTCGGTTAAAGTCTGCTGCAACGGCAGTCGTTTGCACCCACCAATCGGCATTGGACCCGCGTAGTGATCAAAGGCTCATTAATGAATTGAGGATTCAAATATAAGTACTTAATCTTACAAACTCAATATTGAAAGCGATTCCATCCACAGGGAAGTTCTGTGCCCTAGAAGTGGGGCTATTAAAAGGATGATGAAAATTATGACTAGTATGTAATGTATAATATATGCGAATTCCACCCACACAGTTTTGTTACCAAGTCAAAGTCCAAATTATGAATGAAACTTGATTTATCACATAAAGTACCCATTATTAAATATGATTTAGATACAAATTCCCATTGCCGGTTTTACCCATGAAAGGGGAGCCATACTGTACCTAACATCGCTTATCGAAACAAAAAGTACCAGGCTATAACTAGAAACTCACATGTGTTGGTTCGTATGGTCCCAAGCGAGCAGCTTCACCACGTCGAAGCTGCCGTGTGTCAGTGGCAACGCTCTCGGACCATGAGCGTTGTGTTCTGTTCTCACTATGTGCCTGAAGAGACCCGCTGGCCCATCTCTTATCGGGGCCAGTGTAACTAAAGCTCCACCCCCCGCTGACCACAGAGGGGAGGGTGCAGATTCCACCCAACCGTCGTTGCCTGAAGATATCCTGTATAACTGAAATTGGACTTAAAGTCAAATATCAAAGAGACTTAAACAACTGTAGTCGAAGAATTCAAGGTCATTAGAGTATAGCCACACGGGTGCGAGTATGATGTCAACAAAATATTATTTTTATGGATTGTGAAACTTTAATTACTCGAATATATAGAATATCAGAAACATTTCAACGATAATATCAAGGCACCGTAATATTCATACTATGGTCAAGATAAGTAATAAACATAGACATTCCAATATATATATATATATATATTTTACTATAATATATATTTCAATTTAGTTACTTTCTTTGTAAATCCAAAATGGCCGTCTCAACAAAATGGCTGCGTACATATTTTTGTAAAAATGAGACGACTTTTATTTTTGTCTAATCATAAATAACATTTTGAGTTTATATATCTCAAAATTGTAAGGGAGGCTATCGTATATTTCATTGATTAATTTTGGTTTTGATATATACCTCCAGACAGTACCACATAGGGCTCTTGCATACGGAGACCACAGATAAGTTCTGTGTCCTAGTCAGCCACACCACACATACTTCTGTCAGCGACACCCACTGTGCGCTGGTAAAATAGTAGTCCCTGTTGAAGAAAATATAACCTTATCAACACATAATAGGGTTTGTAAGGCGTAATTTGTAGAAACACGAAAATAACTATATAAGGATATTCCAAAATTTATAAAATAATGTTCTTATTATTCGCTTATCAAAATAATGGATGGTAGGAGTGTCCCTATTTCAACCACTCCAGGGTTTACTTTTACTAGAATTTGACGTCATAGTCTCGAATATGTCTATTATACATGCTAATCGAGAATTAAAACCTTTATAGCTCAACAAAATAACAAAAAAGAAACTGCACCGTATTTAATGAGTGACAGTGGATCATAGGTAATAAAATATATTTCAAAATCAAAATTCAATTAAGGTGGGACATTACCTTATTCCACAATCATTTCAAATTGTATTTCAAAAAAATATCAAAGAGCACTGAAAATTAAAATAAAAGACTTTTGAATCGTCCAAATTTTTTGTCCCCTAGCACTGCCAACATTAGCGCCAAAATCAAAATAAAACCTTAATAGTTAAAATCACAAATATGTATATGATAAATAATACAGTATTCACTTAAAATAATCTAGAAATCGTTACTATATTTTTTCTCCCATCGATTCGTATACTAACAGGTTGCCGACCTATCGTTTACATAAAAAGAAAACATAAAAACCATTCCCTCAGTCACTTTTACGACTTGTGCTAGATAAAACTAGTGAAAACAGGATAGTGTTGACTCATTCCCTACCATAATACCTTATCTGGACTACACATAAAACTAAGATGTTACGAGGGTCAAACTGAAAGTTCTTAGAAAATCAAAAACTGATTACATTAGCCAGTTATTAGTTTTATTATATCTTTTCAAAATATTGTCCATTCACGTCAATACACCGCTGCATGCGATGGAACCACTGGGAAAAGCACTTTGCCCACTCGTCCTTAGGGGTCTCTTCAATGGCATCGCGATACGCAGCCACCGCTTCTTCAGCATTCATAAACCGCTTTCCTTTAAGTTTTTCTTTAATTTTTGGAAATAAATAAAAATCACAAGGCGCGAGGTCGGGGCTATACGGCGGGTGACCCAGTAATTCAACGTTTGATGTCGCCAAATAGTCGATCGTTCGCTTGGCGGTGTGCGACGAGGCGTTGTCGTGGTGAAGGAGGATCCTACTGCGAGGTCGTTTCTCTCGAACTTTTTCCAAGACAAGTGGCAAACAATTGGTAGTGTACCATTCTGCAGAAACTGTTTTTTGATCCTCTAACACAATTGTTGCAAAATGACCTATCCTTCCAAAGAACGAGGCCACCATTTTTTTTCCCGCACTTCGATCTCTCTTCACTTTAGTTGGCAACTCCTCGAAAGGAAACACCCACTGAGCAGATTGTCTTTTGGTTTTAGGATCATAACAGTAAATCCAGCTTTCGTCACCTGTTAGTATGTCGAACACAGCATTTGAGTCACCTCCGTTAAATCTTTCAATCATTTTACGACACCAATCCACACGATGGAGTTTTTGAGCCTCAGTCAAATTATGAGGTATCCACCGGGCGCAAAGCTTCCTGACCGCTAAATGTTCGTGGAGGATTTTGTGCACTTGACTCATACCGATGCCTAAGCTTGTCCGAATCTGTTGATAGGTCACTCTTTTGTCAGTCTCTATCATACGCCGCACAACACAGATGTTATCTTCAGTCGTCGCCGTAGAAGGCCGTCCCTCACGTAAATCATCAGTGAGATTAGTGCGACCACGTTTAAACTCATTAAACCAGTTGTAAACAGTCGCACGAGATGGGGCTTCATTGTGAAAGGCCAATCGTAGTCTATCATAACTTTCTTGTTGACTTAAATGACATCGAAAGTCATAAAAAATCATTGCACGAAAATTTTCTCGTGTTAAATTCATGATGACGTGACACAGACAATTTTCAATTTGCCGCCAAATCGTAAAACAAATGACAAATGAATGAAATATATACTCAGTAATATTGGCAAAGAGTTATATTTTCAAATTTTAGAATTATTTTTTTATTATATTGTTTATAAGTGGCCAATTCTAAGAACTTTCAGTTTGACCCTCGTATTATGCAGTGAAAGATTGAGTATTTTATTATTGGTATGTTGAGTATAGGCAGTTGGGCTGACCTCTTTTAATAATCGTCTATGTTTTGATAGTTTTTTTATATATATTTTGATGTTTATTAGGTTTTGTTTATATAAGTATAGAATACGAACACCTGTTTTGGTGGGTAATAAATTTGTGAAGATATCATAAGTATTTTTATTTTCACATCATTCGTGCCCTCACCATCGTCAGTATCAAGGTACGATTTCTTATCAGAATTCGGAAGTTACTTTCATTGGCTTAATAGAATTTAGAAGTTTTCGTATTAATAAATAAAAGAAACAACATGGCAAATAAATGTTTGTATATGTTTAATCGTCACGGCACAGAGCTTTAATGAAATAATTAATAACGTTTTTATCGTTTTCAAGTAGGTTTTATTTTAATGAAACTACGCAGTGACAGCGCTGAGGTCATCATCGAGTTCTAGAATTTGTTTATAACAGAATAGCACCGCTGATCATTCGCTTACCCCCGGATTCAATAAAACAGAGATACTGTTTGTCCTTCATGGTAACAAAACTTGTAAAAATTCCTAACAATGGTATCTCAAAAGTTTTCCAATAACCATACTATTTGGCAAGTTGAGCTATGGTTTGTTTCTAAGGGATTGATTCGTTACATATGTCTGGTAGTAGTTTATGGTAGTCAGGGGTAAATAAATTAAATTATTCAAATATTTTGTAATAATAATAAAAATAAATAATTGAATTTTAATGGAATACGGAAAATGTAAAAGAAACTGAAAACGATAATTCAAGCAAGATTATCTAGAACGAAAACCTCCAAAGTAGAGTATCAATGTTATATACATGGAACATTAATTTATCATTATGACATGTCGAGACTTCTTTCATATCAAAAAGATTTCATATCAAGAAGATTGCATATGTATTTAGTGATGGGAAAACAACGAAATTGAAGAACCTTTTAAAGACAGAAAAGCAAAAACCGACTATGACACTTCATTGGAAATATTTATTGATAATTACTTGGAAAAGTTTACAATCGTCGTGAGTGTCATGACACAAATGTCTTTACTTTACTTTTAAAACTCCGATTAAAGATTAAGAGAAAAACAGGCAAACTTAAAAGACTAAGGAAATAATGAGATGTAAGAATATGTAACAGCGCATTGAGAGTGACCTAAATAGTGCATCGAGAACTATGTCTATTCAAATGTTACTTGTAAACCGTTATAAATTTTTTTTTAATCCCACCAATCAGTTACAAAGATTACTTTAATGGATTTTAGAAGTAACTTTATATTTAATTATTTAGATTCACCTTTTATGCTAAACGGTTGCAAAAAATATGGAAACTGTTTTTGGCTTTACTTCTTTATTCAAGATCAACTAAAAGTAAATGATTTTTGGTTTAGGAGATTCAATAATTATGACTCCATATTGGTCACGAAACTAATTGGATATTGAATATTTATTTCGCTACTGGAAACTTCGTTACTATGATTGGAATAAATATTTCAAATTAGACAGATACGGTTAGAAATATTTGTGCCAATCACGCTGAACGATATTGATTTGGTTGATTTCATAATGGTGTACCGAAATTCCTCACCCGAAATAAATCTTCTATACATTGAAAAGTTGCGTTGTCATCGACAATTTATTTTGCATGTGATTTGTAGAGCCTTTTTTGTATAGAATCATGTTATTGTATACTTTTTAACAAATTTCAAAAACAGGAGGTTCTTGATTGAATTTTGTTTGTATGTATATTCACACAATGTCTTCGTCAGTAGGGACCGATTCTGCTGATTTTATTTATTTGAAAAGTTATATTCTCGAAAGGGTTTCTTTAAAACGTTCTATCAAAATTGGATCAGTAGTTTTATTTCTATATAAAAAACTATAAGAACTGCATCGTCCATATCTTAATGACATTATGTCTTAATGACATCTTTATTATAAAAGATATTTTTTGCCATATCATCATCATCATCATTATCACTTCAGCCGAGAGACGCCCACTGCTGGGCATAGGCCTACCAAATATAATACCAAAGATCTCCAAAACGATCGGTCCTGCGCCTCCCGCATATAATAATTTTGCCATATAATAAGTTATAATTGTTATTTTATTTTAAAGGCACAAACTATTTCACTTATTAAATTTAATTTAAAAAGACGTTATTATTTGCCAAATATTTGCTAAATTATATTAATATTTTTAATTAGTTCCGGTGTTAAAAGAAAACAGTCTATTACCAATCATTTCTTGAATAATTTTCTCGTGATTTTTTTTTATCAATTAAAGGATCATCCTCGATCATCATCATACTAGATACACTGAGAGTACTGACCCTGATTCTAATATAGCCTTGGGCGGTGTGAGATGCCTGGTGCGTATGTGTTTAGGGTCCGCGATGTCTGCCACCGTGAGGGTTACAGTTGGATTGTTGGTCCCAGGTTTGGGGTATCGGACACTCCTGATCTCAGGATACGTCTGCACAAAAGAAAATAAATATTACATTATAATAGTGAAGCATATACAAATATGCTTGTGAATGTAGTTTGTTAGATGCAAGGCTCTGGCTCCACGCTTTCGATTAAGCGTGTCAGTTTTAAGACATCTACGATACATTACAAGCCACTGGCGATTTAGCTCACATTTATCTTTGTCAGAAAGTAGGGAAATTTTGGTTTGGTTTCGCATAATTAATATGATACGTAGTCTACTGGAGAATTTATGTAGTACTTACTATTCTTGGTGAGCTCATTCGGCAGCCTAGGTCTTCGAATGACTACTCACTGAAACCCTACAATGCACCTTTTTTTGAGAGTAAAACCTGGTGAATCGCACCCAAGTTTGCGGGATATTCACCCCCAGGAAATAGAGTCTGTATTCATCAATGATCCCTTAATAAAACTAGCTCACCAATAGTGAAAAAATCTGTTGAATTTTGTGGTAGCTTCACACATTACCTTGGATGGATCATCGGTGTCCAATGCGGCTCCGTACCAGGGGTACTTTTGCTCGTGTACCAGACTGTCGTTGAATGTAGCGTACAGTACCATGTGGCCATCAGCTGACATCCATAATGCTGTACGTGACTTCAAGATCTCCTCTGAAACAAGAAGAGAAGTAGTATCAGATTCATATAAGAAGTCTTGTAAGGGTGCGGCGTACCACACCGTTTGTTTTGTCTTATATTCCCGCATCCAAACTTTTTGTCTCAGAACTTAAAGATCATTTCATTTTTATTATTCGCTTTTCGTAATTTGAAATTTTCAGAAAGATGACACGCTCATTCTGAATATCGGTTAGTACAATATTCTTCCAACAGCAACAAGTTTATCAAAAATTAAAAAAAATATAAAATTTAACAAAAATATCAATTAAATTTATGTCATAGAAAAAGTGTAAATACTTAAACCCATCTTATAAGGAAAATCCAGTAACGGGGAATGTAATTAAGTATTTTATTTACACACTAGCTTTCCGCCAACGGCTTCGCCCGCGTGGTCTTGTATTATACATAAAAACCTTCTTTTTGAATCACCCTATCTATGAAAAAAATCCGTTGCATAGTTTTAAAGATTTAAGCATACATAGGGGTAAAGGGTCAGAGAAAGCTACTTTGTTTTACTATGTACTTATATACACTAGACTACATTTTACTTATGCATGTTCAAAGCATATTTTTACAATAGATAAAATATTGAAATGTGCATTTCACTGAAGAGTTTTGATAGCATCGATAGTATAGTATAGGATGTGGGTGTGTTTGAGCACATTTGTGATTGAGGGAATCAAATAATATACTTTAATATACGTTTAGCCTATCAACATTAATGGACAATCTCTAGATATTGTCAGCATACACTTTATGTAGACTATTTTTAATTTACGAGCGGGTAATAATGTATATTACAATATTTATGTGTATTTTACTTTATATCATTACCAGTATGAGATTATACAGTTTAAAGGTTAAACGATTTCAGTGCGTCTGAACATGTACAGTCGATTGCATATCGTAAATAGTTCATCCCGAAAGGTATGCGTCAGCCGCTCTCTCAGCTATTAATACTATTCACTGTCTCGCTCGCTCGTAATCAGAGCGTGCAAAACGCAATAAGTACTGAATAGTGGAGGGTGAGAGTAGTTAATATAAATGCTAAAGGAATAGAGTACGGTAGCCTCGAATGGCAAACAGAATACGAGCCGAAATCAACGAGTGCGTCATAACTCAGTGAGACTGGTTTATAAGTTGGTCGCTTTACATATGCGGGGTTCCTTCGGAGACGGGATGACGAATAATGAAAGTCAACAGGTAAACGGTTCTCTACATTGGGTACTACTACGGATAAGAAATCTTCCGCACGTCGAATGTGTCTGCTATCGACCAGTGTAAATGAGCCATTAAGGATGCAGATTGGGACAAAGGATGGGGTATTAGTCGATAATTAAAGAAAAATAAACATTTTTTGACTACTAAAATCAATCTCAAAAATAAAAGAACATAATTACGTAAACAAATTGACTACAGGAATTTCATATTGGTGGTAAATCATGAAGTTAAAAAAAAATATTATTCTGATCAACTGGGGCAATAGTTGTGAGATGAGCCCTCAAAGGTTCAAATATCGACATATTCACAAGTGAAATTCTTCTTGTTTAAATCACAAGAACACATTAAGCTTTTCTCCAATATCAGTTTTTCAACCATTTACTACTGGTTTTATACGAGTATTAAAAAACAAGGAAAAACGTGTTACTATTTATACGATAACCGACGGAAAATTGTCGGTAAACTTTGATATTTTTAAATATTTTGCTTACAAACGGTTATCGGTGGGAAATCAATCCGTTAGCAGCACACAGTCGTCGGTAGCTTTACCTACCAATGGTACGTTATTGGAACACTTTTTGGCTACCGTCGGTAGGAAATGCTACGGATGGTAGCTTTCTGGATATTGAAACTGACGCAAAAACGTATAGCTTTTTGGATATTGAAACTGTAGGTAAATGGTGGATTTAAGAGGTAGCTTTTTATCGAAGTGTTCTCAAAATTTATATTTTAAATCAATCAATACCCTTTGAAATAAGATGTGATTTCCTTTATTTGAATTACGATTATTATCGATATTATTTCTTTGTTCAAAATCAATGGAATAAAGTTACTGATATTTGGATAAGACGCGTTTTAAATACTAATTGGATAGTCATATTATTATCGTAGTAATTCAAGCGTTCTGGAAATTAAGGATCTTGACAGACAGACAAATGAACAACAAAGTGATTCTAAATGAAGCCCATGTTTTTTTCTTTTGAGGTTTTATTATTTCTATTAAAAAAATATATTTTCAAGTTTGGTTACAATTATTTATTTGCATTATATACCAGTCATAACGCAATCAATGTAACACAATGGTTCCGAATCGGGTCCGGTGAGTTACGGTGAGTTATGTGTATGGCATTATGCAGAAACATATTCAATACACATTTCTAAACACATTTTGAAATCGATATCGATCATAATCCGCAATAATATTATGATATTTGATCAATTTTGAAAAATATTCTTAATAAAAAGTGCTCAAAAATCCATTTAGTCCCTAGCACCCTAAAATGGGATTCGAACCCATGACCTTTCGTAATCCGGGCGACTGCTCTAACCACTGATCTGCCCAGGTCCTAATAGGACTTTTCGCTGCTACAGAGCGTATTCTATAATAATATTGTTTAAGTTGCCGACATAGCCGCAAACTGGTTGCGGTCAATACAACAGTCGGCTTTAAACAACGTTTGACCGGAAAAGTTCGACCATAGCGGCCTTTGTATAACACTCTCAATATTGTAACCGCACAAGTTTAGTCAAAGCCTTTGTTACTTCATTATAATTGATAGTTACAATTGTTTAGTAAAATCTATTGTTGTATTAAGCCGAAGCGTTTCCTATTTTCCGATTGGAAAGAACAATTGGTGCAGAATGAATAATTTTAAGTGCAGTAAAATCTATTCAGAGGAGCGAAGCAAAACCAAGTTTTTTGATATTGAATAATCTATGGATATAGAAACGCAACGGAGCAGACAGAGCAGTTTGCTCGTCAGTCACATTATGCTACGTTGCACCATCCCGCACAGCTATGATTCTGTCTACCCCATTTTACTCATGTTCGTTTCGCTTAAATACCATATTTTAAGGTTAATTGTATAAGGGCAGTGAATATTATATAAGAACTTCATTGGTTTTCACCCACACTGATTTACTCTAATGCTTTATCTTAAATTGCCATGGTAGCATTAATTTGAAATATAGAGAAGTGTCGCTATATACACCTAACATATTTTCTTTTTCTTTCTTGCAGCACACGTGGTTTAACGTCTGAGACTCGAATTGGCTTAGGGCGTGAACATTAACTATCGTCTATGGATTACGTTGACTCACAGTTATAGTGGTCACGACCATCATGGACTCTATGGTGATAACAATCTTGATCCAATGGACATTTCTTAAGTTTTCATACTCATACTAGTGGCCGACAGCGACTTCGTCCGCGTTTTCCATTATTTCTTAGCTCCTATTAGCGCGTTAAAATAAACAAACGAACTCTTCAGCTTTATAAAATTAGTATAGATGGGCAACATTTGATGAAAAAAAATCTCGACCTCGACACCTTTTAAAGCTACTCAATCGTAACATTCTTTATGGCTACTCAATTGTAATGGTGGAAGTGCGATGGTGCTAATCTATGTATATAGTTGTCTCGTTTTAACAACATCTTTTGAACCGTTTTCACGAATTCAAACTAACTGAAGCACTTAATTACATTCGGAAAATTCCCCTTTATCCCATTTTACATCTGTTATCGTCCAATATTATTCAGCTGTATTATTAAAATAGCGATCGAGGAGGTTATGAATCATGCCACACTGCAATTGAAGTTTGAACAGGAGCGTGTGTACACGCAGCAGCATATTAGATTGCTAAAAAGTCCTGAATTTCAGCATAATTTTAAACAGGGTCAGTGCAATTCGAAAACTGTCTAGAGTTTGACAGAAGTATAAAGCGCGGCAAATAAAGCGTCAAAAACCATTATATAACTCGCAAATCGTTATTGTAAAAGTGCTACGTATAGCCCTTTGGCTATAAAGTGAGCAAGATGTTTGGGTAATTGTGATTTTTTATCATCAATATTTCATAAATTCACGTTTTTACTCTGACAAAACACTTCGAAATATGATGTACGTATATCTAAATGATAACCCATTATTATTTGCTTAAACGGTACTTTATAAGTTAAGTTGGTGCAACTAACCCCTTGATGATATATTTTGATTATGCTTATGTATTATCAGGTTGTATAAATCTCTCATTTTATTGAGATTTTTATAGCTTATTTGGACGTTATTTTATTGTACAGAACCAATTGAAAGTGAGTGATTTTTAATTGACCATACTTCCTATCTACCAAGAGAGACATCTGCTTTTTGTTATTAACCTGATGAGCTGTCGATTGTACCTATAGTTTATATTGCGGCTTGGAATCGATATTGGCACATAAATACTGGCATATGGAATATCATTCAATAAGTCTCAATGGAAAGGTTGAAAGACGATTGTGTAACTTCGCTTGCAAATTTATAAACAAAGTAAGGAATCCTTTTTTGTCTTTTTTTCTCTCAGATTAAGAAAAATCTGTCACTAAAATTGTTAAACATATTTAGGAAAGGTGACATGTAATTAAAATAATGTACTATTGAGATTTATTTTTCAAACGATGATATGTGACACCCTCTTGTGAAAATGTAATATTCTAATAATATCCGTTGGCAACCGACGCTTGCATCGATAATGTTCGGTCATTCACTCCACTAATTTATATGTAATGCAATGATAATCAGCCCTGTTACTTCCACACTGCAGGGGCTCAGGCCTTCCTTATGAATGGTTAAGGAGGACGAGCCATGACCTCATCATCATCATCACCAGCCCTTTTACGTCCCCACTACAGGGGCTCAAGCCTTCCTTATGGATGGTTAAGGAGGATGGACCTCCACGCTCGCTCAATGCGGATTGGAGGGTATT